AAAAAAAAAAAAAAAAAAATTGCACAGTATGTCCCCAATGGGACTGATCTTGGAGGTGTGTCCCCGTTTTTTACTGTCATAGCAAAATGTTCATGGTTTTTTCTTGAACACTAGAGTTCTTCAATATTTAATGCTTGAATTTCTTATTTGGTGGTGAAAAGTAAAAGGTTAACAATCCATTATTGTTAAAATCGTTTGAATATTATAATTTATATTTAAATTTTTAGTTGAAATACCGATTTAGTGATTTATTATAAAAAGCCCAAAATTCCAGTGTTGGACTTTAGGAAGTGTTGAAGAAGACAAAGTGATCTTTTTGATTTGGTGTTATTTGACTAAATTGGTGATTGAGGATTGTTTGTATTGGTATTTCGAAGCTTTGTTTTAAATTTGATATCATTTGGAGCAGATTTGGGGTTGTGTTATCGAAATTGAAGTTGCAAATTCGAAAAACACTTTGTTAAAATAACACAAAGAAATTATACCAATCAGATAGACTTTAATGAACAACTTAGCATATAGATAGAGTAAATATAATATAAGCTGTACGAGAAATGCTGAAGAACAATAACTAAGAGCAGGTTTAGCTGTCATTTTTAAAATATGGTCAATTTTAGGGACATTTGGCTAAGACCAGCCCCTTACAAGGTCATTTCTGTCAATCAACCTGCATAATTAGTGAATGCTACGTCCTCCATCTTGTACGTAACTATAATAGTTTCTCAAGAACCTGCACACTATTGAATGTGGTGATATGGCAAAGAAATGCTTCGGAGTTCCTAAAAATAATAGCACGTAAAATGTATATTTTTTTGTATATTATTGTATAATATACATACTATACATATTTTTTTTATATTCGGCTAGTAATTATAATTATTTTTTGGCTGATTGGTCAAATGTATAACTTGTCCAAGATTCTTCCGCTTTTAGAACTCGTTTGGCCATAGATTTTGACAAAATAAATTTGGGTTTTATTTGGCAAATACATGTTTGGCCATAGATTTTGCTTAAATTTTGGCAAAATCCCAAATATAACTGGTTTTGGGCTAAAATATCACTATTACATTTTTAAAAAATTATCCCAAACTTTTTGTATTTTATAAAAGAGTCCACCATTTATTATTTTGTAACAATGTTGTTTCGTCCTCTCGACCATCTGATAGTGTATCATGTAGTTTATTATAAAAATGATAATTTTGTACCAAATTTATTTATGTTCAGGACTATGGTTTGCGATAATATAATGAATGTTATTGATAATGGTATCGTTGGGTATTTGTAATAGTTTTTAGAACTTGTGGGTATAAGTCATGTTTCATGTTTTTTCAAAATAAATTTGGGAAATATGTTTTGAAAACTGATGTCCAAACACATTTTCATCTTCAAACCAAATTTTACCCAAATCAGATTTTTCAAAATAAATTTGGGAATCTATAGCCAAATGTTAGCTTAGTTAAAGGTAAGTAAGCTTGGACCGAGTGTTGGGCTAGCTCGGTTCTCGACTTGGCTCGTCTCGTTTCAAAAGAGCTCGAGCTCGGCACAGCTCCATTCCGGTCAAAGCTTAGCTCGACTTGGTCAAACTCAGCTCGGTCAAAGCTTCAGCTCGATTGCCTCAGTTAATCATGTAATTCTTTTTTATTTTACACATGAAATCTACTTTATGTACAACTTGAACTGTAATTAAAATTATTTGTTTAAGAATTCAATGTTTAATGAGTTTCAAAGTAGTACAATTTTATTACTTTGTTGTTAGACATTTTTCTCCTCTAACTAGAGTTTGATTTAATGTTCTATATTTAATTTAAGCAAATGCAAATTTAAGCTTTAACTTATATTAACAATTCATATACTTTAATCGTATTTGAATTCAATTCTCGATTAGAATTTTGATTATTATATTCAAATGTGCATAATTCTGAAAGAAACGGTTAAACACTAGTAAAATAATAGATCAAAAATTGAAATTCAAGAAAGATTTTGTTTTATACAAAAATTATTTTTTGTATTTCTTGCTCATGTGATATAATAAAATTTTACTCACATTGTAACTTAAGCCTATTTATAGTAGTTATGTTAAGTGTGATTAACGAATTTAGACGGTATAAACTTTGATGAATTCAGTGTAACGACTAACTACAAAAATGAAATCAACTACAACTAACTAACTATAATGTAACTGCCTAGGCTAAGTTAAACTAACCACACCTAGTTGACTAGTCTATCTATGGTTAAAAAATGTATACTGAAAGCTAAACTATAAATAAAGACTGCATTCGTCCTCTTCCCCTCTCTCTTTCTCTCTCGAATCCAAACCCAGAAATACATTTGCTCTCCAGAATTGCTTCTCAATTTCATCTAAAATTTCATCAAAAGTTCAAAAGGGCTGCTTTTTTAACACTTGTTTACTGCTGCTCTGTTTTCAATTGCTCAACACTTTCTTTTCTTATTTCTTTCAATGGCTGCCAATGGTAATTTCATGAATCTTTTCTTTTTTATTTCTTTCTTTCTTCGTTCTCTGTTTTTTTCTTGTATATTGTGTGTGAAAGAGAGTGTAACGACCTGACCGGTCATTTTGAGTGTATTAGCCCCGATCCCCTATTTATTATTTTTTTCCGTATCTGTTTCTGCTTATATGACTTGCCGGGAGGTCTTGTTTTTGGTTTCAGAGTG